AGGGACAGCCAGGAGGGCACAAGGACACAGGAGTGTGCCCCACATGCACAAGGGTTCAGGAGCAGAAAGGCTGCACGAGTGTAAATCAGGCACCTGGGCACATGAGGATGCAGAAAAGCTGCACGAGGCTGCACATGGGAGGCAGGAGGAAGATGAAAGGGATGCACAAGGAATGCACACACACAGCAGTGCTCAGGAGGAGCACGAAGGACACACGAGGACTCAGGAGGATGCACAAGAGATGGACAAGAGGGGTGTGGGAGATGCACAGGGATGCACAAGGATGCCCAGGAAATGCAAGAAGATGGATGGGATGCCCAAGGGAGGCAGAGGAAGGTGCCTGATGGGGAGGGGGGGTGAGGGAGGGTGCACAGAGGATGATGAGGCTGTGTGGATGAAGCAGATGGGCCCCAGAGTGGGGCAGGAAGCTGCACAGGCACCTCCAGAGGTGTGTGTGAGACAGACAGCTGTCTCAGGACAGGAGAGCTGTACAAAGAATGCCTGAGGGATGTGCAGGAGATGCATCCAGGACTCCTGAAGGATGTGTGGAGGATGCAGCAGAGATGCATGAGGGATGCAGGAGGAATGCCACAGGATTTATCTGGGATTCCTCAAGGATGCACAGGAGATGCAAAAGGGATGAATGAGGTTGCAAGAGGGATGGGCAAAGGATGCACAAAGGATGCAGTGGAGAGGCAGGAGGATGCAGAGGGATCTGTGGTGGAGGCACAGAGCTGCAGAGGAGCTGAGTGGAGGATGCACGAGGGGTGCCCAGGGCAGGCAGGGGGGAGCAGGTACCTTTGAGGATGTAATCCGTGAGCAGAGTGGGCACCTTCTCATTCCCCTCCTTCATGGCAAACAGGACTGTGAGGGAGAGCAAAGCTGTGAGCCTGGCTCTGCTGCCCCCCAAATGTCCCTTTTTCCCCCCCAAACCAGCCCCACAGTTGCCATACAATTTCCCCATACAATTTATGCAGCAGGCCTGGGAACACCCACACAAAAAGGACTTTCATCCCCAATTAGCCAATCTGTGGCAGTGCAGAATGGGTGATTTACCCCCAAACCAACCCTGGTATAAGGAGAATAAACTGGGGGGAGGCGTTGGCTGCCAACCAGCAGTGCTGCAGTGATGCAAACCAGGGATTTTCCCCACCAGGTGGGTTTGTTGCAATGATGATGCAACGTGGGTGGTAGCACTTTAAATTGCCCATGCTGCAATGATGCAAAAAATTCCCCAAATTAGTTGTGCTGCAATGATACCCCAAACTGCAGCCACTGAAGCAAAGCAAAATGTGCCTTTGTGTTCCCCAAAACATGTGATGCTGACCCAAACCAGCAGCTTGAATGAATACTCACTGTTGGTGAGCATCTGCAGGTCCTCAACAGAGGGTGGTGAGCCCTTCTTCTCATAGGGAATCACCGTGTTCAGGTACTGCAAAAACAAAAGCCACCCCAAGAAAACACCCAGATGGCACAAAACTGCCTGGTTTTTGCATCACCTTGAGACAAATTTGTGCAAAAATAGAGTATTTCTGCAAAATTCCTGCAATTGCATTTAATCTGCAGATGTTTTGGGGAGTGCTGAACTAACTGGGTGCTGCAAACTCCACCCAAATCCATCCCTCCTCAGGGAGAACTTTTTGGGGTGAAAACAGTTAATTTTTTCAAGAGGGGTTACCAGGGTGTAGGGGATAGAGCAGTGTTGTAAAATGAAGAAAGATTTTAACAGGGGGTGGGGGCATGCAGGGGAATGGGGAGTGCAGGGAGGAGGAGCAAAAACAAACAGATTTGGGCAATTTTTGCGGGGGGGAAAAGGGGCACCTGCTTCTCGTTGGTGGTAGGACCAAAAGTCTGGCGCAGGCCGGAGTGCAGGATGCTGGAGATGCCCTCCATGCTGAAGCGCTGGGGGGACAGCGTGTCACCCTGTCACCTCCCGGGGACAGCGACATCACCCGTGGCACCTCCTCTGCCACCAGCGTCCCCCACAACTCCCTGACTCCCACACCCTGCCCAGATCCCAGCACCCTGCTCCATACCCATCCCAAATCCCTTTGTGTCCCTGCTCCAAGTCCCCCTATCCCTGCATTCCCCCTGTCCCTGTGCTGTGTCCTTCCCATGCCCCTCTGCCCCATCCTGTCGCTATTCCCATCCCATCCCATCCCATCCCATCCCATCCCATCCCATCCCATCCCAACCCTCATCCCCTTGCCCCATCCAGACCCCAGGTCCCCCAACCCTCCCAGCCCACCCGGGGCAGCCCCGCTCCGGTCCGTGCCCACCTTGCGGGGCATGTTGCTGCCGCGCTCGGAGCGCGCCCCTTGCAGGCTCAGCCCCTTGTCCCTGCGGCGGCGCCGGGCTGCCTCCCGCTGCTCCCGCTGCTCGCCCTGCACGGCCAGCAGCGCCCCGATGAACGCCGTCTTCACCTCCTTCTCGAAGGCCAGCTCGTCCCGCCGCGCCAGCTGCGCCACCAGCTCGGCCGAGAGCGCCCGGCTCGCCGCCTCCGCCCGGCCCGCGGCCGCCAGCAGCTCCCGCGCCGACAGCCGGCCCAGCCCTGCCCGAGAGAGCGCCTGTGTCCGGCACAGCCCGAACAGGGGCTGGAGGGACTTACAGCCCGG